CAAATCGCGGATCAGGGATTGCGAGAGATAACTACTCAGGCATTCGATAACTATATTAGCACAATTAAGAACAATTGTTGCAGTTAACTAATCGTTCCTAGCACTTTAAACCGTTGCCCCGCCTGTTATCAAAGTCCTCATATTGCATTTGTATAATTGTCCCTAAGTATACAAATTTGCTCCTCATAGACCTATGGTTTAGACCGACCAGTTATGAAAGAATAGAAAAAAAGTACATGTGATTGTTTTTTGATTTTTCAACTAAATGGCAGAGCTCATATAAGCAAAACACCAGGGTATTCCACATTGGTTTAAAGGAAATCCTCAAAATCGAACTATATCTTCATATTGGAAGCTGGAACCTTCAAACACTAAGTAAATCTTGAGTTGAGCCCTTGTTTACCACCAGGGCAAAGACGTTTCGATTATTAAATGGTCTCCACCAGGGTATAAACTGTTGAGTTGTAATGGTTTGAGTATGATACAGACAATTCATAATTGAATAGTTACACAAAGAAATGCATCAATTAAGTGCGAGTGAGACGAACTTAATTGATGCAAAAGAATGGCGATGAAGCGTGGGTTGCTTGGTCGATTAGAAATAAGGTTTTAAAACAAAATCATGTCACAAGAACTTATGTTTTCTTCTCTTAACAGGGTTGTCAACTTCGGATACAACGGTACTAAAGCAAGGTAGTGACAACAATTACCTTGCATCTGTTTACCTGCCTACGCTTACGACTATCTTCGAAATTTTTAAAACTAGTTGATGAGACAAAATTAAATTCTTGAATTCAAAAGCCTTTATTACGATGACATTGGCTAATAAATCCACATTTGTTAATATCAGGGAAGAAGTAGTTATCAATCATGTTTAGTGGATCTTAAACGAAGATCCAGGATTGGAGAGTATCGGAAGAAAACTCCTTTGCGAATCATCGGTATATGAGGTTCAAAATGCGCTTTGGCGGTGAGCGAAGTACAATCAGAAATTTAGAACTTTTCAAATGTCTGGCTTAAATCGTTTGAGGGCTGTTGTTCTCATGACAAACCCTTTGTAACTAGTCAGATTCCCGCAAAATTTTCAACCGGGAAGGACGTAAAAAGACTGCAATACATTGGGATGAATATACCAGGAAACTTGGTGAATAAATCAAAATCATTCGACTCCTGGCAACTTTTCTCATTTACTACATGGTGTAACGGGTACAAGGGATAAAAAATATACCCAAAGCTGAAAAGTTGTACACTACATAGAGAAATCCTTCGAGAGTAAATTATACGTATACACTTGTAGTCCGTATTGACCCTAAAAAAAGCCTTTTGACTGGCCTCAACCACAAGACGAAAATTTAGATTGGTGGACTGCTTTGACAGGGACTTCTGCGTGCATTTTGCTTGAGTGTAAGTGCGGTCATAAGCACTACGTCAACTAAAGCTTTATAAACATTGCTGGACATTATTATGATCGAAACACATGTAACATACGAGGCGGAACTCATAGCCGAGCGTCTCTTATCTTAAGGCGAATTGAACAAAGCCGGTTACAACACACGTATACACACGTTACAATACGTACGTATAAAGCTGTGTGTTGTTATTGCCAAAATCAGAGATGGAAAATTGTATGTGGAAAATTAAAGCTTGGAAGGGAAACAATTTTTATTTTTTAAAATTTGAAGAATTTAATATGCTAATAGTGTGTTATGTGTAACTCTGGTACCAAGGACTATTTTTAGTACTTTTTCATTACTTAACTAGTATTTTTTGAGTTTTCTATAATATTGGACCTAAACATGAAATTATGCATGTAGAGCCCGAAGTAAATGAGAACATATAAACGTTGTTTAAAAGGTACTTTTGAAGAACTTATTACTTATTGAAACTAAAAACTTAAAATGAACAAATGAAAGAATGGCACTTGTTCGTTCTTCGACTGGTACTTTTTGGTTTCTCTGCAATATTGAATTTAAAAACATATAATCAAGACATATAAGATCCTAATGGAATGAATACCTATAAGAGTGAATTTGTTGGTACTTTTTGTACTTCAACTGGTACTTTTTGAGTCTTTTTCAACCTAGAAGCACAAAATCTGACATACATATATTATCCTGATGGAATGAAGATCTATAAGAATAAATTTGTTGGTGCTTTTTGTTCTTCAATTGCTACTTTTTGAATATTTTATATTATAAAACCTAGAAACGCAAATTTAAACACAGCATAGGCGCTAGTTTAATGAAAATTTATAAAAGGGGAGTTTCAGACACTTTTCCGTCATTCAAATGGTACTTTTTTGATTCATTGAATTATTGAACAGAGAAACATAAAATCATATACATATATTTATTAGGCTTCGTTTCGTTTGTGATATTACAACTTTTTAGAAGGTTTTTGTATCAGTGATTACTATGCTGTAATAATTTTTTCAAAATTCCAACTACTTCCTCTGCATATCTGAGGCGGAAACCACTGATTTTGAGCGACATTTTTTACAGAGCAGAAACTGTAGAATTTATAGGAAATCATGCTCTAATAATTGATTTTTTATAAGAATGAGCTTAATTTCACACTTTTATAATGCTTCAAAAGTGCATTTAGTATTATCCAAAGATGCACTTTTTTCAAAAAATATTTCAAAAAATTTTTTTCTTTTTGCATAATCAAAGTATGCTTTTTGCTGAGACAAATGGTGCAAAAACAATTTTATCATTAACCCTTTAGATGTGATAAGACTTTAAATTTTCAGATTTTAAACTTTACAACGCTATATTTCGAAAACCACGAAAGTTATAAGGCCCAAGATTTGTCATTATACAAGTTATATATGGAACATTAATTCGATGGAGTTTTATTAAATTCGGAGATTATGATGAAAAACACCATTGTTTGATGGGAAATTATTAAACTACAAGCCAACATTATAACTATCATAACACCTAAAGGGATTACAATAAATTAATAATTTTAACACTATTTTTAAGGGCATTGAATATTATATTTACGAATGATAAAATCAGGTTTTTGATTTTTTTTTTAAATTGCATTTTTTCTTTGGCTCTTATGCATTTATAGTGCATCTAAATTCTGTCAAATTAAGTTTATATATCTTAAATTTTCCTGTAGAATAGTATACTAAAGTCAGATTTGAAATATGTACAGCAGTTTTCGGACTATAAAAAATGTCGCCCAAAATCGGTATTTTGGCCGCAGATATGCAGATGAAGGAGTTGAAATTTTAACAAAATAATTACGCCAATATTAGCGCTGTTCCAAAAACTGTCATAAAAGATATGATATCACAATTTCAAAAGTATTGCGTGAAGCCTAATATTTATGTATAAGATCCTGATGGAATAAAAATGTATAAGACTTAACTTTTGTCGTACATTTTTGTTCTTCAACTGGTTAGTACTTTTAGAAATATTAAACCTGGAAGCATATAATTAAAGACGCAGCATCCTGATTGAATAAAAATTAATAAAAGTCAACTTTCTGGTTCTTTTTCGTTTTCCAACGTATGTATGATTGCTTTTTTAAGATTCGTTTCCAGACTTATCTAAGGCGTCAGTTGAAATAAATTAAGACACATTTTGTTTTTTCACAGTTATCTCAAATTTTTCATTTTATTATTTTTTTTCTTGGCATTTCGCATCAGTGTGGCGGAGATTTTCAATCACACACGCACATACTCACATCTAACATACATACATAATTATATACATTATATATGTATGTATGTTACTACATACATAAGTATATTCGAATATGCGTTGTAGGTGTGTTGATAAAAAAACCGCTATAGTATATTCTTATATGCTTTTTTTATTAACTTTTTCCTTTTTTTCTTTAAAATATCAATACACCACATCACATTAATTAGTAGTAAATATATAATATATTAATTAATTAGTTAATTATAAATTATTTGATAATTGTTTTTTTTTATTTTTTGTTTATGCAATAGACACAGACACATACATATAATATTTTTTTTGTTTTTGTTGTATACATACAAATTACACTAAATTATTTTTAATACTTAATACAATATTTGTTGTTGTTGTTGATTTAATATCTATTTTGAATATGTTTTTTATTCAAATTATTTTTAATCAGGAAGATTATGGTGCGTTTTAGACACATACATATAAAGATTTTATATAAATTATATATTTTATGTATAATTGTTAGTCAATACATTTATTTTGAATTTGTTATTTTATTAATTCAATCATATTATTATTATTATTTTAAGAAATAACACCTATGAATATGTATTTGTTTTGTAATTAATTTTTTATTATTTTTGTTTTCTTCTAGTGTTTATTTAATGCACACACTTAAAAATTACGAGTATAGCATTTTATAAAATATTATTTATATAAATATTTTTTTTTTTAAAAAGTACATACACATACAAAGGATGATATTCAATAATATAAGTCCCTTTTACTACTTTCTAAAAATTTAAAACCCAGATGTTTCATATCTTAACGATAAAAGCTCTCCTCCTCGATTCCATAATGATTTCAAATGTTTGAGAGAATTGTTGTTTCATTGAAAATGACATCTCAAAGATGCATCTCATTTAATATGGCCACACTTTTTTTCATAATTTGAAAATCGTTTTTTTGTTTGTTTGTATAAAAAAATTTCATTAATACTAGCAAATGGCACACACATTATTATTGTTAGTTTTCTTCTCACACTATAAAACTTTCAATGAACTTTTATTTGGTTTTTTAAAAACGTCTGTCGTGTTGAGTAAAAATGTAACAAAAGGGACAATTATAATTATGTATCTTCCACTACACAATAGAGAGAAGGAGAGATAGATAGAGAGAGAGTAATTGCAATAGTTGTTTACAAATAGGAGCAAATAGAAATAACACAGATATAAATACAACATAAACATATGAAACATTAAATAGTTTAGAGTTTCGAACAACTTTTTCCAACAAAATGTCTTCTATCAATATTCGAGTTAATTTGAGTGAGTTTATTATTATTTTTATTTTATTTTTTTCATAGTTTTTGTTTTACTTGTTTTATGATATGAAATTATGTTATCGTTTATCTTCAGCTATACATTTATTTGAAGAATTTTTAATTACTATTAATAAGCGTATTAATTAATTCACGTTTCTTTTTTTTACTTAATTTTTTTCGTTTTGATATTGGAGCAAAAACTATTTCTCAACGATTGAAAATTACAAACAAAATTTATATGAGTACAGCGGCAGAAATAACAAATTATAAAACAGCAATAGAAATAAGGAATAAATTTATAAAATTAATAAAAAAAAAAAAAAAAAACGAGCAGTTGTTTGGAAATTTTTGCAAAATCTAAAAATATTTTGTTGTTTTAAAAATTATTGTCGATTTAGGCTTTATAATAATGTTGTAGCAATATTTGAGCAGTGCAATTTAATAATTTCAATATCGACTTTAATTTGTTTATATCTTGAGAATGTTCCAATTATATCTATAATACCATATTCTAATTAAAAGGTGCTTTTATGTACTCTAAAATTTACGAAATTAAGATGGTTAACAGAAAACTTTAAGTCTGGCTTTTTATAAACAAAATACATCAATTCTGTTATGTTTGTTTTAAATAGTAATAATTTGAATTGGAACGCCTATAAAAACTGTTCATATTGTAGAGAGGTTTCCAATCGTTAATTTTTGCTTGTTTTGAATAATGCTCGCGTTTAATTGTTCTGTTCGGTTTTTTTCGTTTTAAATGTGTTAGTAATAATGAGATTCAATGACAAATTGTAACCAGAAAGAGCAATTGATAGATTAAACTAAATTTGTAAATACGAGTAAATATGTGGATATCCACTGTAAGAGTATTATTATTGACTTTGTAATAGGTGTTGGGGTTCTATCTAGATTGACTTTGATCATGTTTTCAGCGGGAGAGGTTTTAATTAATTTCACTTTCGATTTAACTACAACTAATATGTTTTTTGTTTGTTTTATTTTGTTTTAAATTACTTTCGTTTCAATTCTTTTTTTGTTTTTCACATACACACAAACATTTACATACATTTATCTAATCGAATAATTTATAATTTAAAAATCAACTATTAACTAAAATTTTATGAATTACACATACACTCACGCACAAGCATACATACATTTTCATCTTATTAGCTGAGCATAATTACTTTTGTTTTTTTGTTTTCTCATCAGTATATTAGTTACATACTATTTAAAGTATTTTGTTGTTTTTGTGCTGTTTTTTTTATGTTTCTTTCAATAGAATTTGATGTGTTTGTTGTTAAACAACATTATTAAACATATCTCGCACATAAACATACTCACACGTACACAATAAATATAAAATACTGCTTTGATGTATATTTAAATTATTTATACCATTACGAAGGCATCTTCGCCACAGAATAGATATGGATACTGATCGATCATGGTTTGCACAATATCTTCTAAATAGGGACGTAATTGCTCGAAATGACCCATGTCTGTAAAATCTATAGGAATTAATGTTGGCCACCAGCAAATAGCTAAATTTTTACTATCCATGCTATTCAATTTGGAATTGTCGGAAACACTGTAAGTGAAAAAAAATTCATATTAACATTAATATTTGGAAGACAGCAAAGTGATATTTTATGATTAATAACTTACTGGACAAAATGCTGGAAAATATATTTTAAGATTGCAAAATTAACTGGTGGCAACTTCTCCAATAGTGTCTTTAAAGCCATTAATCGGCAACTTCGATCCGTTTTTACTTCCACATTCATTTTAGAACCAATACCACGGGAACCTAAAACAAAAACTTATAGTTTTATTTTTAAAATCGAATATCAATCGAATATATTGTTGGATATTAGTAAGTCTGTAAGTTAGTAACATAAAGTGCTAAGTTTAAAAGCTTCAAAAAAGTTAATTATGTTATATTCACCCCTATTCTGCATTTCGATTACGTTTCCGCATTCAGTTACGCTACGATCAACAATAGGTATTCCAACAAAAAACGGAATCGTAAGAAAAAGAGGAAGCAATTCCATTTTATTTCAATGCTTTACGATTCTGAAAATTTCGATTCGAATTGAAATGCAGAATAGGGGTGATTATTATACCCTACACCACTTTAGTGGGGAGGGTATATTGGATTTGTGCTGATGTTTGTAACATACAAAAATATTCGTCCTAGACCCACCTTAAAGTATACCAATCGGCTTAGAATCGTTTTCTGAGTCGATTAAGCTATGTCCGTCCGTCCGTCCGTCCGTCCGTCCGTCCGTCTAGAACAGAACCCCCGAAAAGGGCTTCTGAGCTCATAATTATGTTAAATATACAGAACTTCGATAAAATACGGCACAACTAAATTTTATAGCAGTCTTGATGACCCTGCCAAATTTCATAAAGATCGGGCCCCATTTGACCCTAGCTCCCATACAAAGTCCCCTTCAGAAAATTACAATGTTCCAAATTAACTTATAAACACAAATATCGCGATGAAATTCAGCACAATAAAATATTATGTAAATATAAATATATTCACAAAATTTTATCGGGCTTGGTCCATATTTGCCCCTAGCCCCCATATAAAGCCTCTTTCAGAAAATTAGTTTTTCATCCATAAATTGCTTAATATTCATAACTGGTGTAGGGTATCATATGGTCGGCCACGCCCGGCTATACTTTCTTACTTGTTTTATTTTAGTAATGTTTAAATTAAAAGCAATAGTCATCAACAGTTATCTAAAAACTTCGATAAAATTAAAATTTTCTGAAAATTTAGACATTTTTATGCTAAGGAAACTGATTCAAAATTCAGTTAAAATACTTAACAACCATAAAAATGTTATACAGAACGGGTTCCAGAAGTAATGCCGGCATTATAAGTTCCAAGCAGAGTACAAAAATAAAAACGTTTGCAGTTAAACAGAAGCAAAAACACAAGTAAGAAATTATAGTCGGGCGTGGCCGATCATATGATACCCTACACCAGTTATGAATATTAAATTAGGGTTCTATAGTTGAAATGAAAAGTCGACTTTTCGACTTTTTTCATTTAATTAAAAGTCGACTTTTTTCGACTTTTTTTTTCGACATTTTCCGACTTTTTTTTCGACTTTTTTCGACTTTTCGACTTTTTTAGACTTTTATTCACAAAGTCAACTTTTCGACTTTTTTCATAGACGATAGTCGAGTTTTCGACTTTTTTGGAACAAAATAGTCGACTTCGACTTTTTTCGACAAAAAGTCGATTGTTCGATTATTCGAAAGTCGAATTATAGAACCCTATATTCAATATGATTTATTTTTCATAACAAAGTAATTATCTACAATATAACGAGGGACTATATTCAATAGTCTCTATCTAAAATAACACAAGTTTTAAAAGAGCAAAAAAACTGTTTATTTCGGTAGTTCGTGAAGATTTTAAAATTTTTTGTTCTACAATATATTTTTACGATCATGTTCTAAATCGTTATATAAAAAGAATTTAAAATTTTGCATATTTGCAAAATTATTCACAAAATTTATATCAGATAGAGCTTTTCTTTCTACGAAAATTTTTTTACAACCTTCAGATAGAGAGGTTTTCATAGAAATATAAATTGTTTATTTAATTTAATATCAATAAATATTATATTTTATGCAATTTAATGAAATAATATAAACCAAATTGTTGAAAAAGCAACAGATTATAAGATTTTGGACCAAAATCAATGTTATATGGTTAAACACGGCTATAAAACTAATCAAATTAGTGTCATAATGAGCGATATCTCGATAACTATTAGACCGAATTGAAATATTTTTGCGGATTTGTGTTCAGCATGTCGAAATTAGTAAAAACACTTGTTTTGCAACAGAAAATTATCGAAAATAATAGAGTTTGAAGCAATTTTTGGATAAGATAGAGAGTTTTTCATTCAGAATTTTTCTTTTTTTAAGATACAGAAATTTTAAATTGTTATAAAATAGCCAAAAAAAATATATATATATTTTTTTTTTTTTTGAAATTTATGTCACTGATGCGGGATAGTTTGCCATAAAAATCTTATTTTCTTGAAAATGACAGATAGAGACTATTGAATATAGTCCCTCGATAATCTTGTTTCCGATACATTTAAGCAATTTATGAAAGAAAAACTAATTTTCTGAAAGAGAGTTTATATGGGGCTAGGGCAAAATATGTACCGATACCGAGAAAATTTTGTGATTAGATTTATATTTATATAATATTTACATATTTGTGCTGAAATTCATCACGATGTTATTGTTTATATGCGAATTTTGGGTATTCAAGTCATATTCTGAAGGGGACTTTGTATGGGAGCTAGGATCAAATGAGGCCCGATCTTTATGAAATTTGGTAAGGTCATCAAGGATTGTATAAAACTTATATGCGCTCAAAGGCTCTTTTCGGATGGTTCTGTTGTATGGGGGCTAGGTGAAATAATGAGCCGATTTTAACCATTTTCAATAGGCTTCGTCTTTGGGCGCTTGTACCAAACTTCATCCAATTATATTGAAAATTGCGAGTTGTACCTTGCGCACAAGGTTTACATGGACAGCCAGCCAGACGGATAGACGACTCGGAAAATAATTTTAAACCGATTGGTATACTTTAAGGTGGGTATAGGACACCCACTAAAGTGGTGTAGGGTATAACAATAAGAAAGATTTTGTCATTTGATTTTCTATTGTATTTTCTCTCGAACAAAACATGTTCATTAATATGAACTACGAAGCTGGAAAACAAGAATAGCATAACTGAAAAAGTATCGAGCAAAACTATTGGCGAACATTTCTTTATTGGTTTGTTCATTACAAAGAAATATTTAAGCAAAATCAAAAGAACTCTAGCAAAGTTTTTAGATTTTGTTTTGTTTGTTTTCATAACACAGCTTCTGTGAAGTAAAACCACAATATATCCTAACAACTAACAACTTCTAAGAAAATCAATAATAGTTAAGAATTTAGAATTTCAGAGATAAAACCCATATTATGAAATATTCCATTACCAATATTATAAATTAATTAATATTATACATACCAGCAACTTCCTCTAGTTCCTTTATAATATCCTTGCTAAACAATGCTGGTAATCGCTTGGAGAAAAAGTCTTTTAATGCTGTAGCAACTGCATTAACTGGAATGTCTAATAACTCAATCACTGTATTGGTGTCTAAAGTTAATAGAGACAAAATTAAGATAAAATTAAGTTATTTATTGTCTTCAGTTACAAAAGTTAACATTACCTTCTTCGAATTTTTGAAACAATAAATCAACGTGAGCTCGACTGCCGGGTACTCTGTAAATGCCTTCGGAATCAAGCCCCTCTTTTTCTATGTACTCTATACATTTTATTAAAAATATTGGAATTTCCACTTTGTCCGAGATCATTAGTTTATCAAATTGAGATTCTGTATCGGGAAAACCTTTGGAATTCTGTTTAAGTTTTCGTTTAAGTTTCTTTTCTTGTTCTTTTTCTTTCTCTTGCAGTTTGCGTAATCTGGCGCTTTCCTCTTTAAGACGACGTTTTTCTGTCTTTTCATATTCCTTTAAACATTTTGCATTCATATTAAATTCGCTTAGGTTATCTGAAGCGAAAAGTGCCGGTGCTTCTGCAACCATAGTATACTTGAAAGGGGGAAAAAAAGAGGAAATTATATAAAAACTTAAATTAAAATGTTTACAAAATGAAGCTTACTTCTGGTGATTTATCTGTTTTAATAATATCATTAATACTGGGAGGTTCGCCTATTTTCTCTGAAATAAAAAACACGTTAAATGTATACACATCATAAATGCTTTTTGTAAAATTTAAATTTTAACTTACTTTTCTCGGTGCCAACCATTCTCTGATAATGAAGTGGTATTTCCGGTGGGCTTACATATGAGCCAAACATTGGAACACGTGGAGTCTGAACAGGTATAGCAACTTTCTTCTTCTTGGTCTTCTTATTGGCTGGCGGTTTCTTGTTTATCTGCTTGTAATAAGCATTTTGTTGTCGCGCCTTACGTTCAGTAGAACTGGCACAACTATCCGATTCGGTGCAGTCTGAATAGAAAATATATATAAACAAATGTTCTAAACATGTAAAAACTGCTAACATTTTTAAATTACCTTCGTTTTCATATATTTGCTCATATTCAGCTAATTCTTCTGAATCATCTTCATCACCATCCAATTGGGAATGATCGAATTGTGTGTAACGTTTAGGATCCTTATCATCGCAGGGTAGATAAGTTTCACCGCCAAAATTCATTTTTGCTACAGCATCACTAACTAGTTGAAAATTTTTTAAATTTAACTTTCCTGGTTGCTATAATATATAGAAAAATATAGAATAGAAAAACAAATCGCCTAATGATTTTATTACAATTATAAAAATTACCTTTAGGGTCTGACTTGGACCTTTTGGACGAATTTTATTCAAATTAGAGTCTATGTGCCTACGACCAGTTGTGTAAGCATGTGTTGAGCCACCAAAATTATTCCAAATAGAATTTTTATTTGCATTACGGCGAACATCTGTTTTATCATCTAACCATTCTAAAATAAAAATAAAACGTATAAAAAATTAATAAAATAAAATTCATACATTTTTTTCATCGAAATAATGAATAATATCTACAAAATGCATGCTAAGATACAAATAAAAATCTCCCCTACATCCAGAACGGAAAAAGTCAAATTAAATTAAAATTATAGTTAAAACAATAGAATTAGCCATTACATTTATCAATAAAAATCATTCTAGAAATTAAGAGGAAGAATTTTACAATATTAATTGAAAAAGGTAAACTTCCCAGAATGCAATGTTTTGCGAAAAAAATGTTTATCGAATTGACCTCGATGATGATAACATGTACTTTTAGGAAAATAAACCATTTCCAATACTCCATCCATTCCAATTTGTTAGTTATCTTACATTTAATTTCGTGGAAAGTAAAGAAAATTCAATTATCTCAAATTAACATCTATTACTGAATTTTAAATTTTGAAATTAGGACAAATATTGAGATAAAGTGATTGCGCACAGAATTTAATTTGCAAAATTTAAAAAAAGTTTTCGCAGTTAAATTAGACAATCTTATTAAAGTTAGATTAGATTCGAACTTTAATATAGATAATAAAGAAAGGTGGTTCAAACCACCCATCAGTCACTTTTATAAGTTGATATTTGAGAGAATCCGTGACATCATCAACCAGTCTTGGAACACCAGAATGGATTGCAAAATATCAAAGGCCTCATGGTCAACACTTGGTATGAAGGCTACTTATAGGACTGGATAAGCGCAGTTTAAGGATTCTGACAGGGATCTTGGGCCTTTGTCATTCAATGTTACAGTAATTTATTGGGTCATTGCAGATTTTACGAATACGCATAGGAGCACACAGTTGATATGGCTGGGTAATAGGTTCCATGAGGAACTGGCGAAATTGCGGGACTTGACCCTCGCAGTCTACTAAGTTCAATTAGGGAAATTACTCATTTCTTCGACTCGGTGTTATAGGGAGATTCAGATTCTCTTATTCTGTTTTCTTTAGGAAATCGATTCGATAAAATTTCTAGGTTGAAACCCCTTGGAAATCGAACTGTTTTCATTCCCCTCTCCTCATTATTATGTTCTTTTTGTTTTTCTAGTGTTTTGTTTCTTTATCTTTATATCTAAATATTCTATGAAAGGGGATCTCAAATGACCCTTCTTAACTTTAACCTATTATTCTGAAACTACATCAGATCAATTGAAATACACCTACACCGCTCACGGACATGTTGCGCTTTCCATTACATGTTAAACATTGTTGGGAAACAATCTTATATAGTGCTCTATGAAAGTATTATCGTCCGACATTCAGAAACATTGTTCTCTGGAGGTAGTTCCTTATTTACAAATCAGTGATCCCAAGATTTGGATTTCGAAGAAAACTTGCTAATGACAAAGAAAATGTTCCAGAGTTTCACTCTCCTCTCCGCATGCTCTAAATTCTGAATCCCTGCATTTGTATAGTTGTGTCCGTAATACCGAGGAAACTTCTTGTCCAATGATAAACGTACGGCCTTATTCATTATGAAAACATGCTGCTAACTTTTTTGTGTACAAATTCTCGCAGCACGTTTACATTATAAATAAGGCCCTTAATGCCTACAGAGATACATATATCCCATTTATGTGGAGTAGTCGGTTTAACATTAAACTGGATCGTATAGATAGAATTACAAATATTTATCTTGTTTACAAAATTTTATTTACGTTGTTAACAAAGACAAAACTTTCTTTCTTTGTAATTATCTTTAATTATTTTCAGATAACTTGAATGAGCTAAACTCCCAGTAACAAAATTTTCTTAAATTTGCCAAATTTGCGATTTAGAATTAGAAAAATATTTTAACTAAATATATATAATTTGACAAATACTAGTCGCTATTAATATTCCCGTTTTTAGTGATTTGATATGATAGTTTTTCATCTATTTTATTAGCAAACGAAATTAAAATAAAATGGATTACAAAAAAGAGTCAGGGGGTGGTTCAACGGATTTGTATTAAAAACATCTCAACAAATCCATTCAATAGCAATATAGTACAATAGAATTTCTACAAGACTTGGGTAGAAAGAATAACATCTAACGATACCAGTGCTGATTTAGATAATAGACAAATTTAAACTAAAGTGCAACAACTAAAAAAAAATAATTAATTAATAATAAATTGCCTTGTTTTCAAATAAAAACTTTTGATTTCTAAATAATCTCAAAAACAACGTGCATTAAATGAAAGGCTTAGAAAAACTGAAGATGAGAACAAATGTTTCTAATACAAACAAAAAATATTATAATTGACAAGATCATTTAACCTGCATCATGTGTAGCCAATGAATCCTTTGACCCGCTGACATCCGCTGCTTATAAAAATAATTTATTGGAAAAAGAAATGAATGGAATACAAATAAACAAATTAAATAAATAACGAATTTTGTTTAAATTATAGATTAATGAAAACGATCAATTACATGTTATTTCTTCCAAACTAGACTCGGAAGCTGATACGAATTGGCTCTTATATGAGCATGTAATGAGCTGATGATCTGGAGGAGCTGGCTCTGGAGGAGTTGTTGGAGGAGGAAATATCTGGAATCCTTTATGACAATAACATACATTAACATTATTATTTTGTTTTAATGTGCAAATAAAATAAAAATTATCTTATAGGTATTTTCACTGGGGATCTTATGTAAATTAAAAAATAAATTATATCACGGTGGCTAAAAGAATCAACTAAATTATATACAGTAGTATGTATGCCAAAAAAAAAAAAACAAACAGACATACCCAACATTCTGGATGAAGGGTGCGATCGATTGATACATATGCACAAATACGTGGACATATGTTTAATGATTTTATAAATAATAAATGTATGTAGTTATGTAGTATATGTAATGATATTATAGCAACAAACGTAGAATAAATAAGTGTCAAAACATTCTGTAAGTGATCACCAACTTTGTAATTATTCATTTGTCTATCGAACATAGTTTAATTCTTGAAGACTAATATTTGAATATAAGAAAACAGTTTTCCAAAAAATACATTAATATAATAGTAATAATTGACCTACGAATAAAGATATTAAGCCACTTGGGTCCTAATGGTCCCGTTGTGATGCCCTGTAACGGATCCTGCGAAAAGAAAACCTTCCTAAGGACATTAAATGTCCGTTATTGACATGGTATTAAACCAGCCAGATCCACGAATGAACGATTCTATCTTATATATGTCTATATTAGATAGAGCCGCAAGTTTATGAAATATTGGACTTCATATAAATTTAGTCCTGATATTTGCCAAGGCAGGGCAGAGGAATTGTTCTATGGTTTCATCTTCACTTTGACAACTCCTGCAATAGTCATTGTTTGGAAAATTTAGTCTTCTTGCATGCGCACCTATAGTACAGTGCCCTGTTAGGATGGCTACCAGTACACGTAGTCTCATCCTGGAAAGTCCCATCAAATAAATAAATAGACCTTCGCTCATCATAGAGATGCCAGGTCATTCTTGATGTTGAGCAGTGGGTCAGTGATGACCATCTGGTCTGAGCAGACCCCTATGTGAATGATCCGGTACACAGAGCAGTTCCAGGCGCGATTGGTTCGCCATCTCTTCAAGAGACACCCGACATTCGCGAACCAGTCTGGATGTTGTGCAGACATCAGATAAAGATTTTATAGCTGGTTTACTGTCAGTACAAATTCGAATATTCCATTGCATATCCTATAGTACCTCATCCAGTAAACCGCTCTTTTTATAGCTGAGATTTGAGCCTGTAAGACGCTACAGTAGTTGTTAAGCCTAAAACACACCGACTTATTTAAACTGGGAATAAAGAAACCACCACTCACGCCTGTAGAGGACTTAGATCCATCAGTATAGATGTCAAGTGTTATGCCCTCTATGAAGGATGGTTCGTTTGACATCTTAACTGTGAATCTTTTGTCCGGAAGGAGCGTGGGAGAGCAGTAATCGATATTCTCGGGGATGTAAGTCGTATTCCCCAGGATAGAAGCATGACTATGTCAGTTTGGCGTCCATATCCCGGCAGCATGTAGTCTAACTGTCGGTGGGCAACCAGTGCATAAGTGTAAACAGCGCCTGTGATGAAGTGCTTCGAATCATTAGTGCAGAAGCTCGAATTATTCCTTCTGTATGATTGCAATAGGCTTATTTTTCCAAAGCTTTACACCAGACAAGTGATCCATACATGAGAATTTACTTTATAACCATGTCGAAGATCCATTTCGCAGTCTTGGGACTAATTTCCCAGTTCTTATCAATGGCTTTCCTACATGCGTATATCGCGATAGATGCCTTAGAGGCTCTCGCTTTGATATTCAGATTCCATAGTAGTTTAGAATCAAGAATGATACCTAAGTATTTTGCACTATCAGAGAGTTTAAGCTCTACCCTGTTTCGGCGAGGAATAGAAAAAGCAGGAATCTTGTATCTATTCGAGAATAGAACAAGTTAGGTTTTTCCAGGATTAACACTGAGACCACTTTTGACTACTAGTTCTAATAAGGGGAATTAGTCATTTCATCGACTGGGTGTTAAAATCGACCTGTTTCAATTCTATGAAGGGAATCATCTTATAGACTCCGACTAGAGTTGCACTTTTTTATGGTGCATAAACCATCTTAATCTAAAATTGTTTCAACTAACATATGGAGTCGTAGAATGAAGTTGTATATATGTATCCCCAGCAAAAATAATACGAAGTACTTCCAAAAGAATAGCATTTATCACCACTTCAAAAGTAGCACTAATTGAATTTTTTTCCTTCTAAGGAAGTGATGTTTAAAGTCTTCCGAAGAAGCGAAAATAATTCTGTTTTTTCAATGTTGAAGATATATTTTTTGTTCTTGGTATTTTGTATTAAATGTTTCTATTACCCTAAATAATGTTAATATTATTTAAGTTTATTTAAGGACATCCCTCCTATGACAAGCCTGTGTTAAAATCATCACTTCTTCAGGTCTTTTTCAGTACTTCCTTCTTTGGAAGTTCTTTTTTAGCTGGGTCTATTTAAATAAATATTTATTTAATGACATTTAATAGGAGAAAAATTTCTAGCTTGATTGATTTTGAAATTGTAAAATGCTATACATATATTTTAGGCCAAATTATTTAACGTTAGTTTATGCTATTAACGCTTACAAAGAAATTTTAATTAGATCTGTTTCAAATACATGTGTGTATAAATTTGTTGGTGACCATTTGACAGTTCTTAAAAAATGACTTGAGGAAAATTACTTACTTTGATGAAGCATTTTTGGCTTTTCGTTGCTTTCTTCATAGATTTCATCTAACGATATGTCTCTTTCTTCTAAAAACGACAGTGTGAAAGAAAATTCCCCATTGTGTAAGGAGATTTTATAAATTAAACTTACCATTTAATGAATTTAGAGAACGTGTAGGAAGCATTTCGTAATTTTCACTACCAGAGCCATCAGTACCTAGGGTACTTGAAAGCATATAACTTTCGTGACGTGGTGGTGGTCTAGGCAACTGATTTACCGAATTCTCCAGTGTACCTTCTCCTGAATCTAAAGTAATTGACTCCTCAACATGTAAATTTTCAACTTCATACTTGTTATCCCAAGCATTCTTTAAGAAAGGACTGTAGAACGCAACTAAAAAAACAATAAAACCATGAGTAAAAAGATATGTTTTCCTAAAGTTAGTTAAAGTTAATTAGTACATACATTTTACATATTGATCTGCCGAAAACGTCATAAAACTAGCTTTGTAACGATCTGCTAATGAGTTACCTTCCGTTATTAAAAATTGACAGATTTCGCTACTGAAAAATGCATTTGCACCACCACTTTCTGTAATCGCCACAATTTGTAAGGGTATATTGGAGTTTTGGGAGACTAAAACACTGAAATTAAAATTAAGAGAAATAAATATGTATTTATTTATATTTGTAACAAAACCACTCACTTTAAATTGGCCAATGAAGAGCGTCTTTTGGCTGAATATACAAAAATAAAACCATGTATTAATTCATCGCGATACTGATTTATACCGTGATATGATGAAATTATAAATTCGACCCGTTTCTTAGAGTCACCTATGAAAACATCAATTACAATGGAATGTTCAGCTGCTTTGCAAAATGTCGATTCAGTTGTTAAGGGACTTATGATATTTTCAATATCATATTGGTCACCACAGAACATACAAACTAATATGCGTAAATCGGTTTGATTAGGTGGAAATGATTCGAGAGATTTCATTTCTGTAACCCTTAAAGAATCAATCACAATATTCAAGATGTCATACACATATTTCTGATGATTCTGCTGGTGGTCAATGAAATCACAATGCAACATTTCGGCCAATCTTAAACCTTCGTTGCGTAAATAATCTACTTCGTTTTCTTTTAAATCTTGTGGCTGGTAAACTAGAACAATTGGTAGATTTTCGAATTTATCTTCCAACTCTAAATTACAAAGCAATGTTCGTTCTAGATTATCCTTAAGTGTTTCGAACGACTGTTGATTTGAATAAACACAAATTAGTCCTGTGAAAAGGTTAAAGCTCCATTAGATGACTTTATTTCGTTTGTATATCAAAGCATTATTACACTTACCACTTGAATAAACATCGATGGCCTTAAAGGCTTCCATATCGCCATTAGCAATGCGATAGTTAAGATAATAAGTCTGATTTTCATAGATATATTCACCCTTAGAGCCTGTACACATGCGTATGTCATTGAGCAAATCACTGGCTAAGTGTTCAGAGCCCACAATGAGCAAATTAAGTGTTTTGTCAGTACTTTGATTCTTCCAGTTGACACCTCCACCGACACCACCCAACGTTTTAAGATTTCCACCTGATTTGTCAGCTAGTATTTCCTCCACAAAATTATCAACACAACTATGGTAAAACGGGCAATGGTCGCGTATGGGACAATGCATAAAACCGAGATGCTGAAACAAAATAACTCGTCTCTCCTGATCCAAGCGATCTAATATCTTATATCTGAAAACGATATAAGACGATTACATAAAAATGAAGCATAGTTTACTCATTATATCATTACCTAGAGTCATCTTGTAAGACATCTGTAATTTGTCTTACGTCTTCTTGCGTTATAATATCAACATTTTTGAATTGCTGGAAAAATTGAGCATGTTCTAAGAGTAGTTCCACAAAGTTTTGTTTACTTTTTTCGATAATTTCATCCTGGTGAATATCATAAATTTGCTGGCAGTCATGTTCAGATAAAGCCTCAAAACATTCACGCCCCATAAAAAGAACACGTACTTCTGATAGTTGTTTACCCGGGGTAACAAATCCAGATTCTTCCAACAACATTTTAAATTGTTGTTTCCAGCTTGAGAATAAATTTAGAATGTTATTTTTCTTTTTGTTTTATTTTTACTAAATGTATGCAAATAACTTACCCGATTTTCTTTTTATCTTGTTGAACTGAATTTAAGAAGTTCCTAAATACTGTCTCAGCTTCTGATGTTTCCAAAATATCAAACGGTATACGATGTTCATCTTCTGTTTCGTCCATATCAACCAGTTCTTGCCAAGACGCCTGGGGACACTCGAAGAAATATTGATCAAATTCTAAATGATTTCGTATATAACCCTTGGCACATTCCCAGACATCGTCATCACTTGCTGATATGGCATTTATGTCCGGCAACATGTATTCGAGTGTACGAGCGAACTTATCCAAATATTGGTGTAATTTCTTATTCATATGGTCGTCCCTCAATTTCTTCATATGTCGTCTAAATAGCTTCTGTCCAGCATCGTGACCAAATATATTGAGAAACTCCGTCCACTCTCTAAATTGAGCAAGCATTTTTGAGCCTTGTGACCAAAGTATATGATAGTCTGTAATTTGATTACGTATGAGTCGAGTCACGGCTTCTGAGCGGCTTTCTAGCAATTCCTTTCGTGATCGGGCAGCCTCATGATATGGTATAATTTTGATGCGATTTTTTACTTTCTCAATCATTTGCGCCAATACCAAAAAAGCCAAGTCTGTATTTATGGATTCATGTGCCGATGTTTCAATCAATTGCACCATTCCTTTGTATTCCTTACGTTGGCATATTTTTTCGGCTTCTCTTATGTATAATTCACTTGAATCGTCATTTTTTGTTGTCACCAGTACCAGAGGCTTCTTATTCTTTAATATTAAAGTAATGGCATTTTGAACAAACTCTACTTGCTTCTCAATATTTCTATTTGGCACAGGGCTAACGTCGAATACAACAACAAAACCATCGATAACCAAACGTCCTTCTGGCATTATTTTTTGTTCATATTCTTTTTCGATGCCCAATTGATTTTTACAAATGTACATGAGCTTTTCGGCTGAAAATACTTTTGTCGCTGTACATCTCTTTATATAAGGTTCCATTTTGCCAACCTTGAATGGCTGAAATGTCGAGTCATCCATGAATTCTGTTTGCTCGATTATATGAAATGTATATTCCGTTCCCTCGTCGGTTGTTTTGTGTACATCACCCCAATAGAGGAAATGATCATTATTCACAATTCTACCGCTAAAATCACTCTAAAATTTAAATAAATTTTATTGTTTTAATGCAAATTGTTAAGATACGTTATGGTTGGTTGTTTATTTGGCTGCATCTTACCTGACTTAACACTGATATGTGATCTATGAAATAGTCATCAGCCATAGGCCTTATAAATCGATTGCATAAGCATGATTTACCAACGCCTACTTGACCTCTATCCTTTTCAGTCCCGGACAAGCCGATGACCGACACATTAAACTGCTTCATTTTTGTCTGAAAAAGGAAATCAAAAGTTAAATTAAAATCCAAATAAAAAACAATGTCAACAAGCTTATTAAATCCGAAATATCAGAGTTTTTCAAATAACAAAAAAATTAATGCAAATATTTCCGTTTGGCAATGATGTATTGAAATCTCACTTAATGATATTTATGTGATTTGTAATGAATAAGGGATAAATGATTTTTATACTACTCTTGGATTATTTGAAATTACATTGAATTGAATTGTCTTTTAAAGTAAGTCTAGAGGTCGTTTTGTGGGTTTTCAGCAGATTGTAAGTACACATATCGGAACAAAGAAAAGTTACGGAGCGATTTCAGGATCTGTTCAATACTTGTGTTAGTGTCAAACAAACTTGATTAATATTATAATCTTTTGTAAGCTGAGTTTTCTCCACTGGTCTTACTTTAAGTTCACCTCTTTAAATTTTACTTTACTACATAAGCAATAATGTATATAAGACTATCCATTATTAGATTGAAACATAATAATATGATTTTCTTTATGAATTTTATAAGACGATTATAACATCCTTGACAGGTACAGACAATCTTTGTTCTGTTTTGTTTACATATACACACAGGATACGACTGTTGACGATTGATTTCTTATCATTATTATAGCAAAAAATAATAAATAAATATGTATATTTATTTTACTTTTTAATAATTGTAACAATGACTTTTTAAATCTTTTTGATATATAAGACTCTTACCGGTTTTTACGATTTTGTATACATAAGATGCATATGTATGTATGTTGTATTGCATACATATATTCTTGCATGAAAAAGTACAAACTAAATCGTAAAATATACGGGTGTGTTTTTAACAATTATGTCCACGTAAGTACTCATTCAAAATAAAACAAAAAGAACGACAAACAGCTTGAAATAATTTACTATGATACAGAAAACTCAATACGCAAATTAATATTTTTATAAATTATTTTTATATATTTTAGAGATTCGATAACAAATTATAATCTAGCATTAGAAATTGTGTATAGAAAATGAATATATAAAATTATATTATTCCATTTCCATTTCAATTTGCAGGAAAAAATCAAAGTGACATTTGTAGACATCCAGACAAATTTTCACCCTCAAAAGAAAAAACACACATACGCACATATTAAAAAAACAACAACAAAAGGAAGCAGCCCCATTAGAATTGTAATATTGTATAAACTTAATATCTTACTTTTATTTTAAGAAGCACTAAACATTATTTTTAAAATATGATAAACAGTTTTTTATTATTTTTTAATATTCAACAGTTTTTAATATTTTTTGATTAGGAAAAACTTCAGAACAATATTATTTGCGAACTTTATTTATAGACTTTATCTGAGACGCATACACAAAAAGATGTCCTTAACTCTTTGCTAATGCAAATGTTAGCAAAAATATCCTTTTGAGCATGACAGAGAGTAAAGACATTAAAAGAGAGTAATACTAGTAATAACGGAGAAAAACACCTTTGCAAGGATAAAAGTTGGCAACAACAAAAGTAAATTCAACAATTTTATATTGTATGTATTTCAAAAAAAAAAAAAAAAGTTAAAAAACAGGTAAACTTTTAATTCCATTCAGCTCTTGTTTGCTATTAGAATGTTTTAATGTATTATGGGTATGTAAGTAAATACGTTAAATAAGAGTGCTTCATCTATGTACATATGTAAGAAGTAAACAAATGTTTTGGCTACAATTCACCACTTGTGGTGAATGAAGCTTAATAAAGTTTATATTTATAATCTGATACTTTTAGTCCTTTAACAACTGTGGCCATTTTATTGCAATATCATTAAAATTTCCAGGACTACTTGGCTATTAAAATCTATAATATATTTGTAAAACACTAAACGTACGTACATTGGTGACAGAAAAATTGTATACAGCCGGGGAATATACATATGTATACATATGCATTTAAAGATAATATTCTAGTTTGAGGGTTTTATATTGAAATACAAAAACAACATTTTTGAAAATGTCATTATTTTGTAGCAGTAGGCAATATTTGAGGGCTACAAAACAAGTGTCACACTAAAAACGAGCTTTTAGCGCTGTCTCATCCTTTAGAGAATATTGTGCCACTCAGAAGATTAGGGTGGTCAGAGACATCCCTCTCGGAAGTAGGTCGTCCACATGGCGCAAAGGATGCCTACCTTGTTCGCATTTTGATAGGAATGCTAACGGGACATTGCTCAGTTAAGGTATTTGTCAGTAAGTGGAACAGCAATATAACGGACTATTGCAGGTTATGTGAAGATGAAGACGAAGTAGAGTCGATCGAACATATTATTTGCTACTGTCCTAGAATACAGAATCTTAGGCTGAAATAGCTAGGGAAAAGGTTCCATGACGAAATGGGTGATTTTGTGGGTCTTAACCTTCGCAGGTTTTGTCAAGGGAATCAGTCACTTCTTCGACTGGGCTTTATAGGGGTACATAGATTTTCTCTCTCATCTCTTTATTATTTAGGGTACTGACTTGGTAATTCGTCTGGTATGTAAACCCTTGTCCATTTATCTATCCTTTTTTACCTATCTTCTTTCTTGTTTTCTTGTAGTCTTTGTTTTTCTATCTTTAAGTATTAAATCTTTGATGGTCACAGAGTCGATATGCATCATCTTATGGTGCTTAACCCTTCTAAACCTAAACATAGGCCCTCCGATATACGATATACTTTCAATGCTAGCAGAACAAAAAAGACAGAGAACAGCACTCGGAAATCCCTTGCCTTACTGGTTAAGATGGAGCAGAGATATCCGGCGTCGTTCTCAGCCAAGAAGAGCTACCTCCTCAAGAAACACAAGCTGCTTACAACAACGACGAAATTCAACATCGTCGACATTGACGACATACATAATTGCTAAAATATCCTAATACCTAGTCACCATCGTAGACCATTTTCAGGAACGCAAATTACAGATATCAACTTCCAAATCAACAGTGTAACTATTCACTTCATGAACTAAGGAAGTAAGGATTGTTATGGTTAGTCTTCGATAGCCTCCTTCACTTTTCTTCGCACGCCACATACATCAACCATAAGATGAAATCCCGAAATAAAGTCCTAAAAGAGTATTGCAGACATCAAATAATGCACTCTGAATCGCAAACGGATGTGTAAAGATGACAAAGTCTGTCAAGCAACATAATGTGTTGCTGGATAGACAATTCCTGATGGCATGTCATCAGCCATCCCATCCCAACCATCCAATTTTGATGGAAGATCAACACACGATCAACACTGGGCACCCAGAGACAAGCAAAGCGAAACGAAGCCTTTTTCCCTAACTTCACAACCTTCCAGTCACAGTCATAACACAGCCCTTCACCCCAGCTGAAGTTTCAGATATCATCAACAATGTGAAGGGCCACAACCTTGATTAATTTTGCGTTCTGGTAGATGGTTATCTCAATATATCAGTTCTTCACAGCACTTAACCTGCCACTGCAATCACTCATAAATTGCGAAATAGAAACAAGATCCTCAAAGCGCTAGCCGACAGCACTTGTGGTATGTATAAAGAAACCTTAATAGCTACATTTAAAACATTTGGTCGGTCAGTGGTTAATTATTATGGTTAATTATGTCACCTTCGCTTAGTGATACCCAATGGAATTCAAAGCTGTCAAATTGCTTCACTAATGACTGTAACTGCCTTAAAACTACATCAGAACATCATTTACACGAGGAAAGGAAGGTCCTCGCAGTCAAGGAACACAATGTCATGTGGACTAAATACCTCTTCCAGGGATGTCATCGGAGGAGTCATCCCAACTTTAATATCACACAGTTGGATACTCCCCTGAGCCACTTCAGGAAAGATCTTCGTATATACAAGGAGAACATACTCAGTTATGTCTAGGGTCTATTAGATCAGTTGTCGTATACGGCAGCTTTGAACGACATACATAGAAACGCCATCAATACCGCAGTCGCACTATACCGCATGAATGTCGTACTTCGAGGTCGACCACCGCACATAGCAGACACAGAAGAAAACCTTCGACGAAAAACAAATGTAGATCTGGCACAATTGAAATCGTTATGGGGCAACAGGCTTAATGCCTACTGGTCACGCATAGACCATGTCGGGTCCAACGAATGTCCAGCATGTGTTCATCTGCTTAGCCAACAATACATCACTTTTTCCAATGGATTTACGGACACATTTAGTATAGCACAATTTTTAGACCTATCCATTGATGTAGAAGCCCCAAATAGATTATTATATATTTTTAGCTGTTAAAACAACAATACAAATAGGAAGAAGATGCTACGGAAAATGGTCAGAAGAATTTCTTTCAGATTTTTGTTGGTTTATTAGTCGTGGAACAGCAATGAATAGAAAAACAAATACAAAGTAATATGTTATATAGACCCAAACATCCTAATAGACAATTTTACATGTTTCAGTTGTTATTGCTTTTCTAACAGAAGATTTAATTATTTTTAACACTTTTTTGGATTCAGAACCACTAAATCTATCCCAGTCATCCAATAAAATTTAAAGGAACGCAAAAAACTATTTTTGCGTTAAAACACAGTCGAGAAAATATCACTCGCCTCTAATGTACAGAATGTGGTCAAACATTCCACTTTGAAAGAATGCTATTAATTTTTCTTGTGGTTGTATTTAAACGATTTTTTTAACAATTTATTTTGGGGTAAAGTGAAAAAATAAACAATAAAAGTACTTAAATCAAATTTAATTGCTTTTAATAGTGTTTAAATGATAAGCTAAAACATTCTATATTACCCCTCTAGTTATGCAATGACAACTTACTACGTGTATGTGTAAAATTTTGCATTTGAAAACACAACATTTTTAAATATTCTTAAATATAAAATAAATTTAATTTCCCTACAGAAAATTATTTTGTAAAATTCGTAAATTCCTCAATAATAATTTTGCTACGACAATATTATTGCTTTCAAGGAAAACCTACAAGATTTGTAAAAATATATAACTCTTAATCTAATTTCATTAAATTTCAAAACAGATTAATTAGAAAAATTTTGTATGATATAAATTTTCTTCAATAGCGCGATTTTTTTATCATAAAATCAAGGGAAATTCATAAAAATTTTGTACATAAAAACTAACTTACTTATGCTTATATAAGAATTAGTATAAGTACGATTTTTAATTTATTATTTATTTTATCACAAAATAAATCGATTTAGAAACATAGTTGAAATAGAACCACAAGAATTATTAAGTATTCTTTAAAAGCGCCATGTAGTACTATGTATCATATTTTTCTCATAGAAATTATTACCGCACTCTTGCGGTAAATTATATAACAATAAAAATAAAAAACTTCACACAAGTAAATTTGTAAGAAGTCAAGAAGTTTTTAGACTAATTAAGTCTAATGACAGTGAACCGAAAAACGTTCGGGATTTTAACTGGTAATTCTACATCAATGTCCAGGCCTAAAAATGGGGCTACTTCAACTGGATGCGTCCATAAATCCCTTGGACGGAGTGAAGTAGGGTTGGCTGGGCAGTTGAATATGTGGTGGGCGTCATGAGGACCCTGACCACATGCAGGACATTCGTTGGAGACGACACGGTCTATATGTGACCAGTAGGCATTGAGCCTGTTGTTCCATCCCGATCTTAGCTGTGCCAGAACTACTCTTGTTTTCCCCGGCAAATTTTCTTCGTGTCTGCTATGGGCGACCTCCAAGTGCGACATTTATACGGTATCCTGTGACCGCGGAATTTATGGCGTCTCTATGAATGTCGTTTAAAGCTTTCGTATAGGAGGACTGATCCAAAGGATCCTGCACATATCTGCATATGTTTTCCTCGTATATACGAAAATCCTTCCTGACATGCCTCGGGGGAGCATCCAACTGTGTAATTTTAAAATTGGGATGACTCCTCCGATGACATCCCAGGAGGAACTGTAATTTTTGTGTAAATCCTTTTGGGTTTGAAAGTGATATTTTTCCATTGTAACATATTGGGTCTGTTCAATACTTAAAGTTGTTACTACTTTTTACAAATTTTCACAAAAATATTTGAAATTTGTATTGAAATACAAAAACAATTTCCGATAATTTGTAACAATTTTTTGTTGCTGAACAGACATATTGAAAGATTGGCCGTACACCAGCGGTAGCCAGAGAGTAAAAAATCTTCAACTTATTATAAAAAAATAGCTTTCTGTCTAGTTTTATTTGACAGCGATACGCAATGAGCTCACATGAGCTCATCGCTGTCGTAGACTTCCAAAAGTATAGGGTAGCCCAAAATAAAATTTTAGTTCATTCTAAGACATTTTCCAATATTTCCTGAGCTGGATCAAAGGATAAATAAATATAAATAAATTTTGTATAATATTCTAGTGTCTGTGTATATAGATAATATATTTTTTTAAAAGAAATAGTTCGCTGTAAGCTATTAACTGAAGAAGAAAATGGCAAAACTTAAGCGTTTTTGGAAAATGTCCTATGTCAATGTGAAAAAACATCAAAAGAAATACACATAGAATCATAATAAAAGCAGAGAGAAGATCTTTCATAAAATCTGCCTCCTAGTCAAGAGAGGGGCAAACCAATTTTGTGATTTTTAAAGAGCTCTACCATAGCTTTGGAGCAATGACGCGGATTTGAACATTATAATGCCCCGATCCATAACGCTAGGGCCGTAAAAGGGTGAATTTAAACCCAGAATGTAAAAAGTTTGAAGTGGCCTACATACTCTCCTGACCTATTTATTATTAAAACAATATTTGGGATATTATTTCTTGTAAAGTGTATACATCGGGGAGACAGTATTGCACAAAAAACCCTAAATTGAAGGAATTAAAAAAGCTTGCATTAAGTTTTGTCTTTCTACATATAAGACATCATTTTACTATGTATTTAAAATTTTAATATTTAGCAATTACAATTGCTCTATTATTTTTTACAAAAAATTAATTTGAATGTAAACAAAGGATGTTTTAGTCATTTATAAATTGTCTTAATTTTAATAAGAAGTTTTGATATTTTCTATAAAACATTTTACTAGCAAAATTTACAAATTTGTCATTATTGTGAAATTTAACGTCAAGAATCTACATATAGTCAGGTATAGCAAAATATATGTATGTACATATTTTTTAGAAAATATGTGGAATTTTAGTCTAAAAACAATTAAAAAAGTATAGTCGGGTGTGGCCGACCGTATAATACCCTACACCAGTGATGATTATAAAATGTGATTTATTTTTCATAATAAAGCATTTATGTTGTATTTCAACTTAGTTCCGGTATATGTATTTAAATAAATTAAATTTTTAAAAGAGGCTTTATATGAGTTAAATTAGGTATAATAATAGTGGACCAAAAATATATGTAGGAAGGTAATAATAAAATTATGATTTTTTCAATCAAAATTAAATAGTATTTTCTTTAAAATAAAAATTAGAAAATTATTAAAATAAAAATTAGAAAATTATTAAAATAAAAATTAGAAAATTATTATGATTATTAGATATGGTATGACAAAATGAATTATAATTTAATAATAAAATGTATATTTAAATCATGGCTATTGCTAGTGTAGACAATATCATTTATTTTATCACATTTACTTTTCTAATGATGATGATAATAAAAATATAAACAATATTTTGAAAAAGTTTCAGTGATGCATAATACATATAGAAACATGTGTGTATGTATGTAAGTGTGCTTTTCTATACCTATTATTTATATAGGTAGGTATAAAAAATAAATAAATTAATAAAATTTGTTAATCTTAACGATTTATGAAATTGTAATTAAGATACGGTAAGACATTTCAGATTTTGACTAAAAACATAGAAACTGAATACATACATACAAATGTTTTTTATGCTTTTAATAATTAATTTTATTTATTTTAGACAACTTACTATAAAATATAAATATTCTGCTTAAATTTATAAGTTGCTGCTTGTAATTTCAAAACACTTGTAAGTGTAAACGTCATATTGTCCTAAATAATGTCTGAACATATCTGAAGTTGTTGGTCAAGGCATAAACTAAATATATAGGTATTGTTTTTGAATTTCACTAGTAATAAAACAATTAGATCATTCATAGGATAAATTATAAAAAATAATATGTATTATAATGAATATTTTGAAACACTACAAATGACATGGATATGCAGAAATTGTATGTAAAAGAAAGTGATTAATTCATGCAAATTAGATGGCAGAACAAATATCTGGCAACTCTGATAAACTAATAATAATTTGTAAGTAAATCTTTTGTTCCGGAGACCGGACCATGTTTTTCGAATATAAAACTATACCGTTTTCAACATTTCTCCTGTTCCTGCGCACAAATAAAAGAAAAAACTTCCAACAATGAATTACGAAGACGGCGAAGATTTTCTCTTCCTTTTTTTGTCTGGACCAATTTATGAAAATCTTTACATTTTTATTATTGTTTCACTTGATACATTTAATTTATGTTATATAGGTATATATTTTTTTAATTTTCGATATCTTTTTTGTTTTTGTAACTTTTTTGGGGACTTTAAGATGAATTATGATTAATCATAAATTTTATTAAATATTTTCTTCATTAATTGTTGTACGTTGAAATGTGTGTATGTGTCGAAGAGCATTAAACAATATCCATCCAATGAAATAGACAACAAGCAACTTTATACGTCGGACGAAACCACTTTTAACATTGCACTCAAACCACGATTAGAAAAAATTCACATTTTCATGGCATTTATTTAGCGAATATTTTCCTCGTATTCCGTTTGTTTAATTAATTTATTTTTTAACACTTACTAAATTATGATTATTACTAAAAGAATGTGTATTTTTCTCAAATTTTAACTACTTAATTATTCGACTTCCACTTTACAATCGAGCTCGCGAACATCACTACCGCCCAGAAGAGCACTGCGCCGACAAATATTAACTACGGCGTCGGCTGACACCAAAAATGTCGGCGGCGGCTTAAAATCGACTGTAAGCCGCCTAAGTTTTCAATTACGTTTAGTTTTTAAATTTTCAACGATTTTGAACACAAACGGAACCCGAGAGATTAAAAATTGCGATTTTGGGGCTTAAATTTGTTATACGTATAACTCTCGAATCTTCAAAAAATGTACACCACTTATAAAGCTTTCAATTCTTAAATTTGTCATATATGTCATTTGGGCAACAAATGTTTAGTTTTGGAGTTATAGACCTTCAAAGTTATATTTATAAATATTCAATATCTTCCCTATTCATGAACCGATCCGGACAATACATATATCGTTTAAAAGAGCTTTGAAATAACTTTTCAACAATATATAATTTGATGACCAATCCTACAAATTTGTAGAGTTTTTTGATAAAAGTGCCGTTATTTCACAAATCCATCGATATAACGGTACCTATAAATTGATTTATGGATATATGGGGAATTCTCAAAAACGTTTAATTCCTTTGTAATTTAATTTAATTTCTTAAAAAATCGCGCGATTTCTAATACTGTTTACTTTATAAATACAAAAAGAAAATTAATTTACAAATTAAATTAAAAAAAAAAAACATTAAATTTATTGTGTATTTTGTAAAGAAAAAACAGATTTTAAACATTTTTACATTTCAAACCATGGAAAAACGCATTTCAAACTACAAAATGTTTTAGATACATTTTCAATTAATACCTTGCATTAATACAAAATCACATTATGTATATTTATTACTTAAAATCGATTGAGATTCAACTAAGTTACTGACTTATAAGAGGAAGTGTTTGGCATATTTCAGATTCTTGTTCTACTTGGATCCACCTTTCAGAAAATGAATATCACTTCCCAGGTATTTATTTTGGCCGCTTACCCCTGTTAACACCAACTCCGGTTATCGTTAGGTTTCGGATCCTAAAAAAGTTTTTTTCGTCGAATATCCTTATTTTCTGAAAAAATCTCATATGGGTTTAGGGTGAATTATGCTTCGATCGTCATAAAATTTGGTATGGTATTATTAAGTACGTAAAAAACGTTAAAATCAATTATTGAAGGTCACCTTATATGGGGACAGGGTCAATTATGGGATATAGAGATTCCGAGAGATTTTCTGTAAGCAACCTTACAACAAACCTGCAGACAAAGCAACTGTAATGAGCGTTTTAATATGATAAACTTTTGAATCCAATACACATACATATGTATATTAGGATACATCCCATCATCAAGGGCGGCTTTAGTCATAGAGAAACAATTCGATTTGAGATTTATATAATGCATTCTAAGATCACCTTTGCTATTTATTAAAATTGTGATGGCTCCAAGGAACCAACCAATTGAGTACGCATATTGCAGACCTGTTCCAACAGGCCATTCGAAATGAAATGATATTCATTCAAATCCAAACACATTTCCTAATTTCTTCTAAAGTTATTTTGCCATTCTTGATAATACAAGTACATCAAGTGATCAGAAGGAATACCTTCAGATAAACGTTGTTTTTTTTTTTTTTTTCTTTTATAAAAGATTTATATAGAGTGACCACTCTAAAGGATATAAAGTCGACATAAAGCCCACAATTATAAGTACCGGATCCAAACATTGCAATAAAATAGCAAACACCAATATCATCGTCATCGAAAGTTATTGGCACAAACGGTACATCCATGTTGATGCTGAAAAATTTGGATGAACCGAGAGTTGAGTACCTAACAAAAGTCCTCAATTTGTCAATATCAGCTCTGATAATACCCGAGGTCTAGAAATTTAATAGGGTTCCGTCTAAAGCACAGTACAACAACAGATTTAACTGTCATCACCACACAAGTTTGCCCGACGAACAGTTCTTTGACACTCGATCTATCAAAAGCATTTGATACGGTCAATCACGCCATACTCCTCCGAGATATATTTACATCTGATGTCTTCGACAACACCTAGAGATGGCTAGTGAACTACGTGGGTGGACAACAGTCATTCGTAAAGTTTAACAAGTCAAAGTGCTATATTTGGCTATGCCGAATCTTAAATACCCTCCTGTAAGCTACTTTTTATGAAAACCCTTATACATATTACTAGATACGTATTTAATAAATTGTGAAAGTTTAAATTGTGCTTCCGTGATGAGGGTGCTATCATTTAGAAATCATATATATTTTTTATGAAGATATGGCCAATTATTGGCCAATCCGAACAAAATTTCGCAGAATGATTTATCGATAAAAAACACACTATGTCGGATTTTATCCGTATATACATATTTATAATTGAATGAAATATATTGGAAAAAGTGACTTATGGAAATGGGCCTTATATTAGAACTAAGACCAATTATACATTGATCCTAATTTTTGTTTTAAGATTTCTTATATACACAAAATATACTTATTCCGATATCTTTATTTATCAATGAAGTGGATCTTATATGACAGATATGAACAATTATGGACCGATCAGAAAAAAACTTATTTATATAGCCTATTTTTAAAATATCTTTATTTCTTAATTGGATATTTGCATTTAAGCGATTTTCGGAACTGGTCCTTATATAGGAGCTGTGACTAATTATGGACCGATCCGGAAAACATTTCGCAGGGTGTTTCATATCTACTTTAGACACATTCATGACTAATTTTATACCGATATCTTCATTCAGTTATGTAATATGTGTGATTACGTGGTTATCGTAAATGGGCCTTATATGGGAGCTATGCCCAATTATGGACCAATCCGAAAAATATTTTGCAAAGTGATATATGTATACACAAAACATATTTATGTTGAATATTATTCCAATATCTTTATTTCTTAATTAGTTATTTGTATTTAAGTATTTTTCGAAAGTGGACCATTAATGGGAGCTGTGACCAATAATCGACCTATACAGATCTACGTTGGTAATATGATTTTTGTACTTATTATATACATATGTGCAAAATTTCGTGGTGATACCGATATGTTTGCCGAAGTTATTAACGATAAATCTAAATCGAGAATATGTGCCTTTGTATGGGGGCTATGAGAAATTTTGAATCGATTGTTTTGAGTTTGAACATTTTTGATCCCTGGGTAAAGAAAATAGCGTGTAACAAAATTCATTCTACTATCTTTAGTAGTTTCTCAAGAAAAAACTAAATTTTTTTCGAGGTAGTCTGAAATTTTTACTCATAACTTTTTACGTTGTGGACCGATTTGGCTGATTTTCAATACCAAACTGCTTAGGACAATAGTGAATATTTTCAGTGAATTTGGCTGATTTATTTTGCTTAGTTTTAACGTGAGAGTGTTTGAGACAGACAGACGGACGCAGCTAAATCGACTCAGAATTTCATAAGGATCCAGAATATATATACTTTGTTGGGTCTCAGATGAATATTTCTTGGTGTTACACATGGAATGACAAACTTATATATACCCTCTATCACCACTGATGGTGGTGGAGGGTATAGAAACCAAAGATCCAAGTCTCGTAGAATTAAATAGGGAGTACCCCAAGGTGAAGTCCTTTCGCCTATCCTGTTTAATTTCCATATGTCTAAACTCCCAACACCCCCGGGCGGCGTCAAATAATATCCTACGCCGATGACTGCTTGATATTGCCACGGGCAACAGTATTGATGACTTTTGCAGTCTGTTAAACTGTTACTTATGAGATCTTTCCTGCTTCTTCCATTCGAGAAATTTAAAAATATCCTCAACATAATCCTCAGAAACTCTCTTTATCACTTGGACAAATGAAGTAAGGCTAGAATTGGATGGCCAAAATATCCCGACGGTAAATCACCCCAAAATACTTGGTGTCTCATTCGATAGCCTCTTTATGGCCTCCGCGCACACCACTGCAATCTGCAACAAAATGGGGAATGGATAAAGAAACCTTTTAAACTACCTGCCAAACGATAGGCCTGTCACTGGTAAACTACACAGCGCCAGTGTGGCCCCCTAGAGTTAGCGACACGCAATGAAGTGTCAAAGCTGTCATAACGCATCATGCTATCAAAGCAGTTCCTAATGAGATGTCATGGGAGGGGCCACCTGAACCACCATCTAACGGAATTAGAACCCCCTCGAGGCATGTCTAGAAAGATCTTCGTTTGTATGAGAGCAACATCCAAGAACACCTGGATAACATCGATAATGAAAGCTCATACAAAACTGTTTTAAATACTATCCACCAAAAAGCGGTGGATTGTATTTAAAGCTATCGTCGTACTGGAGTGGGTATATAAAATTTGGTACAGTAAAATATTAAACTCTTAATTGTTTATTATGGCCAATAGTGATGGATTTGTTTTCAATTTTTGTATGAAAATATTAATCAATACGCCAACAATATCTATTTTGTTTTAAAATTGTTAAGATATACCAAAGTTTGGAATCGAAAATTATATATGTATAAACCACTCTTTCTCATTTTTTTAATGATCAGTGGGTCACAACAATATACTCAATATGTGTATTATAAATTTAAAATTGGTTCTCGTGGAATCCAAAAGATTTGCAATCAAAACAATTCTCAAGACTTTATTAAATTGGAAAATTCGTCCATTTGAATGGCGTAACTGAGGTACTCCCTGTTTAATTCAATGAGTCTTTTAATTTATAAACTCCGCTAATTCTCACATCCATGCTGATGATAAAGTGCTGTTACATGGCTGAACAGCTGGGGGAGGATAGCCTGTAGGATTGACCCTCTGTCTATTTCTTCCCTGCTTTTAGTATCGGGATGACTCTACCCTATCAGACCACTCCTTGACAGGTTAAATACCATTGTCAAGTTCTCGACTCCCCGCACGACAAAGTGTTTCAGAATCAACATGGAAATACCGTCGGGGCCAATCGCCTTGCAACTTAAGACTGGAAGTTTGTGGACTTTGCGAGCAACACTTCGTTTCGTTTTATCTCTCTCTGGGTCCTCAAATCCTCCGTTCACACTCTCATCCTTCTTCGTTGG